TCTCGTGTGTGTGTGTGTGTGTGTGTGTGTGTGTGTGTGTGTGTGAGAGAGAGAGAGAGAGAGACATGATATCATCTTCCAATATTTGAAGGCTCTTGCAATGATGGGGTCAAACTGTTTTCCAAAAAGCAAGATGAGAAACAACGGATGGAAACTAACCAAGGAGAGAAACAACCTAGAACTAAGGAGATGGCTAGAACAACCAAGCAGTGGGATGGCTTGCTTTCAGAAGTTGTAGGTGTTTCATCAGTGGAAGTTTTTAAGAAGAGATTGGATATTCACTTGTCTGAAATAGTACAGGGTCTCCTGCTTGAGCAGAGGGTTGGACTAGAAGACCTCCAAGTTCCCTTCAATTCTATTGTTCTATGTCTCTCCCCCCCCCCCCCCACCCCGTTGTCTCTTAAGGCTGTAGTGCTAAGCCTTGCCTCTCCTTTCCAGAAGGGGACAGTGGCCTGTTTTGGAAGGGACAGTTTTAAAATCGGTCCATTTGCCTTCTCTTGGGATGGGCCTCCCTTTCTTCCTGTCTAACCTTAAATATTTAGTCTGTGCCCCTTTCTTTTTTCTTACATCTTATTCGGGTAAGAAAAGGGGGACAAATTAAAAATTGTCCAGGGTGTCACAAGGAGCCACCACTCTTCGCGCCTGTCACTTCTCTGTTAATATTTTCCTGATTGATGGTGCTCCCCCCTCCTCGCTTCCTCCTGACCACCAGACTTTCCTGGGTTTCACCTAAATTGATATTTTTCAACCTTGGTAAGTTTAGAAGGATGGATATAGAGAACAGTAGGATAAAATCAAGGACATAAGAATTCAGTTGAGCTTTTTTCAGCACCAGCCAATCTGACCAGTGCTTGGCAATGATGTGTTGCCTTCAAAATCCATTGCTACTTGATAACTTTCATGTACTTTCCCCAGAGCTGGTTTAGTCTAGTGCAGGGGTGTCCAACCTTGGCAACTTTAAGCCTGGAGGACCTTGACTCCCAGAATTCCTCACCCAGCAAGGGGAATTATGGGAGTTGAAGTCCTCCAGGCTTAAAGTTGCCAAAGTTGGACACCCCTGCACTAGTGGCTAAGGCAGCAGGCTAGAAACCAGGAAACTGTGAGTTTTAATTCCATATTAGCTATGAAAGCTAGCTGGGTGGTTTTGGGCCATTCTCTGTCAGCCAAACTCACCTCACAGGGTTGTTGTGGGGAGAAAAGAAGGAGGAAGGAGTATTAGGCGTGTTGGCTACTTTGAGTTACTTATAAAAATAACAAAGGTGGGATAAAACTCTAATAAAAATGGAAGTAGGATGAGGAACTATGAGAAAACCATGTACATATGCTTCTGCCATTCCTTCCCACTTTATAAATGCAAATGGACAGCAAAGGGCTGTCTATTGTCTGTCTAGGTGGTCCCTGCCCTCGGGCATCTGTAATGGCTTATGCCTGTTGGTGGGGGAAGTGTTAAGAGCTTCCTTGTCCGAACTCAGAAATCCCTTCTAGAACTCAGGGGTGGCTCATACTCTGAATTGTGCTCCGTTGGGAGTTGTGCTTGGCGACTCGACTTTCCATTTTTCGATTATGAATCAAGACAGCCCACTTTAGTCCACTTTGTCAGTTGGAGTTATATAATAAAATAATTCTTATTTATTTCTTACAGCTGTCTTATGTGCCCCATAGGTAGCAGAGATAATATAAAGCAACCAACTATCTGGGGAAATATATTTCAATCAGGGGTGGGTTGCTGCCGGTTTTACTACCGTTTTGCAATGCACGCGCACGCATGCTCATTTTGCTTGCGTTGTTCAATGTAAATTGTTCTACATGCATACACAGTCACTAAAATCAAATATTGCGGTGACATCAGCAGCGGCAAGGGACAGTTCGGGGGGGCGTGTCAGGCCTGGGTCACTTCCGGTTCTGCGACTTAGGCCTGAATTCCACTACTGGTTCAGCAGAACTGGGCCAACCCAGCAGCAATCCACTTCTGATTTCAATTCTGCATAGAAGGTGGCAAGGTTGACTCTAGAAATGTGGCACAAAAGTATTTCAGTGGTTTTGCCTTCCTTGAATAGAAATGCTTCCCTTGTTGCAAAACAGTGATGTTGACAGTATCTTGAAGCTTACCTTGGATGTAGAGGCAGAGCCACTCTCTTAGTTTAAAGCAGGGGTGTCCAACATAGGTAATGTTAAGACTTGTAGAGTTCAAACCCCCCCCCCCCCGCGAGTTCTCCTGCCAGCAATTTTCCATGATTGGCTGGAGAATTCTGGGAGTTGAATCCCCAAGATTTAATGTTGGCAAGGGATACCTCTGTTTTAAAGCTATCAGGAAATATGAACTTTAAAAAAGTAATTATTGGTTGAAAAACAAAATAGTTCTGCAGATGAGATGGCTATTTGGAACACCTTGTAAAAAATACATTTGAAATTTTTAGATCTATTAATCAGGGGTGTCAAACTGGCAGCCCGCAGGCCACGCCCACCCCAGCTCCGAGAAGGGGGAAATGTTGCAATACATCACGTGATGGTGTGATGCTGTGAGTTTGACACCTGTGCATTAGCTGATTACCATAGAGTCAGTTTAGTTTAGGGGTTAAGGCCCCAGGCTAGAAACCAGGAGACTGTGAGTTCTAGTCCCTCCCTTAGACGCAAAAGCCAGTGACCTTGGGACAGTCATTCTCTCAGGCCAACTCACCTCACAGGATTGTTGTGGAGAAAATAGGGGGAGGAAGAACCATTAAGTACTGTATGTTTGCCACCTTTGAATTATTTATTTTTAAAAAATAAAGCTAGTTAAAACATCTAAAATAAGTTTTATTGTTATGCTTGATCATCAAACAGAAGGGACTCTTCTGAAATGGGTGAAAATTCAAACAGTCCTTCTAGCTGGTTTAATACTATCCTGAAGTTGCAAGAAATAAAGTCCATGCATGTTTTAAGCTTTTTTTAATATAAGTGAATGAGGGCAGGATCCAGGCTCAGGCCACTGCATTTGAAATGGCATACGGTTTATTCAAAGCATATTCAGAAGCCTCCACAGGGAGGCCACTTCCATTATCCATATGGTGCCTCTCTACACCAGCGCACACTAAAGCCTTTTGAGCCTCACACTATTTGAATGAATGCGTAGATTTTAAAAAAATGGAATAAAAAGCAGGAGAGAGGAATTGTAGAGTTGAGTGTCTACATTAACCAAAAGTATGATTTACAAAACCACAAAACATAAACATGCTGTCACTATCATGGATGGAAATGCTTCCTGCTGGGATAGAAACAAACTACAAATTAATTTAAGCAGTTTATGCATTTGCAACTTAAAAACAAAACCCAAGTTGAACATCAGAATTTTAATCAAGTTGTTTAGTGAGCCTCCATGGATGTTCTTTTCTTTTAATGTATCCTCATTGGCTCCTAAAAAAGCCATCCTGTCTGGCAGTCACATCTACATTCTGAGCAAAATTTAGGCAAATTAGGATTGTGTCTTTAACCTGTATTCTGTCCTGTTGTCAACACACAAATGCAAGTTGATGTGTAGCCTCTGAAGACAGCAAAAAGAATCATGAGATTGACATGACTATTTTCTAGACCAGATTTTTCTCCCCTTTTACTGGGCATGTCTGAAAACAGTCAACTTTATTTCAGAAGAAAGCCTGGAGACAGAAAAACTAAACCGAGGTAAAGAGTTGTCTGTGCAGAAGGCATGCTTGCACAGAGTATTTCTTGGGCTCCCATCCGCTTCCTCAAGAGATGTATTTTAATTTCTTTGGGGAATGAGTGCCACTTTTACAAGTAGCCAGGTCCTGTTGAAGGGCATCTTGTTTGCCCATGTTCAGCATAGTTTACACGAGTGCTTAAAAACAAAACAAAACTAAACCAGCTTGAAAGCTTGCTATTTTGCAATTCTTCGGTCCTTTGTCCTTACACAACAGCCGCGAAGTTGCATGGCCTGCCTTTGCAAAGAACGGTTGGTATAAGAGACCAAGATTCTGAATTGTTCAAGGAATTCATTGGAGTAAAACACTTCACTGCTAAATTAAGGGTCAATGGGAAGATAAGTGATGTTTCCTTCCCACACAGCCCTTCTTTGAACAGCAGTGTTCCTGATGTCTTTGGAGCAATTCAAATCGTCAATAGAGGAAAATGCATACATTTGATTTGAAGATGTATATATGGGGACACACACACACACACACAGACAGACACACACATCTATTCTGTTTGGAGACTTTCATTTTTGTATTCCTATAAATGAATTATGTGTTTTCTTATAGACAGTTCTTTATCTAAAGCAACTAATCACAAGCAAGTGTAAAATTTTGATTTT